ATTTTAAAATTTTCAATCTTAAAGCGTGGATCACAAATAATACATATTTTATAAATATCAGGAATGAACAAATAATAAGCACACCATTTATCTCTCATAGGAGCGACATAAGGGCACAACTCTGGATCAGCCATACTTTCACGAAAACATGTTGCGATTGTAACGCACTCTTTAAAAAATGTATTTGTAGTTGGTTGGTAAACATGAGAAAAAGTAAGAGTTGCGTTATTAAAAACTTCTAATACGGCATTCAATTTTTCAACAATAACAAATTCAGAAGGATTAATGATTATACGAAGTTCATCACTAAAAAATTCAGCAAGTTCCTCTTTATATCTTAGAATCTGATGGATCAATTTGTAAGTACTATTCCATCTAATGTGGATATCTTTTGCAAAAACTATTTCTTTTTTACCCTTAGACTTACAGAACATCTTCCAGGACCTCGAAACAAGACGAGACCCAAATCATTTCGGCCATTTTTGCTTATTTGGCTCGTCGCTATAAGCAAAAAGGCCGCCCTTACCTCTGTTTGCAAACCGAGAAATTTGGGTTTGCACTTCTTGTCGTCCCTTCTTTTTTGCCGCGTATTTGGCGTACTCCACGGGATGCCTCGACCTTAGGTGTTTTTCCGGACCGCCATAACCGCAGAAAACCCCCATTTTAATGATGGTGCCACAGTAATTACATGTTCCATAAACTACGCCATCTTTTGTTTCTTTTTCAAAATGATAAACAAATAAATCTGATTTTAATTTTTTTTACCTTTGTCCGGACCTCGAGAGGTCTCGGGCTCACCTGCCTCCACGTTGACGTCGTTGCTGTGCGGTGTAGGCTCCTCGTCCCCGTCCAGATTATATAGTCCTGCTTCATCAACATCCTCGAATAGACTATCCAGAGTGGGGAGATTCGCGTCCCCTCTACCAGAATAAATCTGCTCGAATTCTTCGTCCGTCATACCGTCCCCGATAAATTGATCGGGGACAGTAGAAAAGGAAGAGACGGAGTGTCTTCCTCGAGAACCGCGTGAGGTCGAACCGTCGGAGGTGGCTTTAGCTTTGCCTCTCCTCAAACTTCGGTTCACGGCGCCCATATCCACGGACCTTCTACCGGACTCTCTCGACATTTTAATATATATTTTTTGATATAAATAAATAATATATAAAATTCGAAATTTTATATATTAAAATTTCGAAAATTTCAAAAAATAAAGAATATATTTAAAATATAAATTATATATTTTTTGATATTAAAGAAAATAAAATATTAAATTTCGAAAATTTAAATTAATTTCAAAATTTTATATATTAAAATATAATATATTTAAAAAAAATTATTAAAGAGATAATAAGATTGAGAGATTGAGATTTGAGAGATTGAGATTTGAGAGATGGATTGAGTGATTTTTTTTTTTTAAAAAAATGGAAGTATTTATAGTATTAACCCTCTCCTCCCCCCTACCTTCGGCCCTCCCCCCTCCCTCCCCTCCCCCCCCTCAAACGGCTCTTTAGCCGTTGAGGCAGGCCCCCCCCATTGACTTGTCTCTTTTTTTTTGCAGGTGTCCGTTGCAGGAGCCAGGAAGCAAAAGCAAAAGAAAAAAAAAATTATACCGGTACCGGAACCGGACCGGTACCGGTACCAAAAAATGGGTATCGGAACCGGTACCGAAGTGGGCGGTACCGGTACCGGTTCCCGGAACCGGCGAGACCCGAGCGGCGGCGTTGACGATGGCGGGTACCGGCGGTACCGTTTCCGGTAACGGTACCGTACCGGTACCGTGTCCACCCCTAGTCGTACCCTTGTTTGTGCTTTTATATTTGTTTGGACCAAAGCCGATTCTTTATTGTAATTGTATGTGTATATGTGTGTGTATTTATAGGTTTTTGGTACTTTTATGATACTTCGTTCCACTTTTGGACATTTTGTTTAGGTTTTGGCCCATTAACTTGGGTTAGCCTTTTTGTTGAGAGATTTTATCCGTTCTTTTAGGGGTTTTAGTTTGAACCATAGTTTTTAAAACCAGAACATCATTTACCCCATTACCCAGTGCGCCATGACACAAGTTGATAATACTTTGTACATTTGGTTATTTGTATCAAATATTCTTTAAGCATATAATTAATTTTCAGATAACTTTGATAATATATACGGAGTATTACATTTGGGTTTTGAGCTTAGATTCAAAATCTAAACCATTTAATATTAATAGAAAAATGCAGATCACACAAATGTTTTATTTATATATTTTAAATATTGGATAAATTACTTGAAAAATCATATCAACTCTTATTTTATAAAACTTTAAAAAAACATAATATTATACCTATGATTCAAACTCAAAATCATTGATATAATTGATACTATCACAAATATTATGTAAAGATTTCATTTCGGTGTTTTTTAATATAAGATAATTTATTTGAAAAAAATAAAATCAACTCTTTGTTTATAAAATATTTAATATTGTTTTTTAAATATGTAAATTTTATTTTTAAACTTAGTGGCATAACTGAAGTAAATTAATATAGATTTGGTCAAATGTTATAAATTATTTACTCTAAGTATTTATAAATAAGAGAGAGAGTGTATATATATATATATATATATATATATATATATATATATAATTTAAAAAAATGATTAAACCACCAGTTCGACCAGTTGAACCACTGGTTCGACCAGTAAACCAGTGAACCAGTACCGGGACCGGTTCGGTCACCGGTCCGGTTCTGAAAACTATGGTTTGAACCCCATTGTGTTTTTTTTTCCTTCTTTTTTGATAAAAAAAAAAAAGAGGAAACCCAAACAAATTTTTTGCCTTCAACATAATCTCCCTATTTACAATAGCAGGAGGAATATATTCCCGCTCAAATGTCTGGACGGCCGGTTGCATCTTTTGGGTCGGGTAAGTAAAATAGGCTTCAGCAACCTCCCCACTACTTCACTACCCACGCACATCACATTATTCACATCTGTCTACAAAAAATTTCTTCGTGAAATCCCTAACGGACGACGACGGCAAGTCCCAAGCGCTCGACAACGGCAGATCCCTTCGCACAAAATTCGATCTGAGCCAACGGCAGATCCCTAGCGCTGGACGACAATGGAGATGGACGCAAGCACGCAGCACAGAGATGTCAGAAGCAAGTCATGTGTCTCAATTTTTGTCTCAGGCGAATGGGAATGGGGCGGAATCTGATGGGCCAATTTCGACTCTGGACGGCTTAGTGTGACAACATCGAAGGAAGCAGGGTCAGAGATTTTAAGTTCCAATTTTATTTATTTTTCGTTATGATTTTCACATCTATTAATTTCAATTTTCATTAACTTGATCCTATATTTTTGAATAAGTTGGGTGTTTAATTTCAATTTTCTTTGTAGTGAATGTTAAAGTTATAATTATAAGTAGTGGCTTTGTTTCAATTTTTCATAAATCATTCTATTATTTTTGTGGGTGTTGCAAAGGTACCACCATCTCCACTCTTACAGGGGTACATGATTTGTTCCAGAAATTGGATGGAAAGAGGAGTGGGCAGGACTTTTTAGATGCATCGGTTTGGCAATCTGCAAAAGCTTGCAAAATTTTGCCTTACAATTTGGAGAATCTGTAAAATGTTCTAATGCTAGATGGTAGAAACCTTTTAAGCTTCATGTTGGTTTTTTCATACACTTCTCACAAGTATGCCAGTACTCATTATTTGGTCTTCTTTTATATATCATGTGTACAAGATGAACTTCTTTGCCGATTTGTTTTCCCAGAGAGGCCCGAAGCTCTAATGAAATTCTTAGACACATTCAGCCCACGTTGGAAAATAAGTTTGTTCCATTACCGCTCACAGGTTCCCATTTATATATCATGCATTTAAAAAAAATCTTATATGTGGAGAAGAATTAAGAGGGCAGTTATTATTATTATTATATAATTATGATCTGCTATATATATCTATATATTACACATGTATTATCAACTTTTCTCTGATTATTTCATTTTTGAATGTTTCTTATCGATAACCAGTTTTAGAATTTGACTATTAGGGAGAAACATGCACAGAAAAGAATGAATGCTCTTCGTAAGCTATAATTGACGTACACTCCAGCATTCTTTTCCCATGATACGTTCCAGAGGAATGACAAAATCTCATCTTCTTCCATCTTACAAAGGGGCATGCAGTTTCAGAATCTTCAATGGTGAGAAATCTCACTTTTAGCATATGATTTCTGTGTCTCCGTTCTGATTCAGTGGTTTGTTGAAGAATTTGTAGAACCCAAAACAATTTCAGTTTGATTTTTAGTTTAATGTTAGATCCAAAGTGAGAGCTAAGTTTATTTATAGAAAAATCTAATGCCGAAGTTGATTTTTCCAATCTTCTTCCTCAGTTTTTAGCTTTCATTCATGTTCAAATTTTAGTGTCAATTTCATTTATAAATTTTATGAATATAATTTACCAAAAACTAAAATATTGGTAGGATGACATAATAGTGGAAAAAGGGAGTCATGTTCTTCATTTTTAAAATAATGGTTTTCTTTTGACAAGATAAACAAAATTATTTTAACTCATTATACTTTTACATTATTTTTAGTTATTCATTAAGATCAGAGAAATGACATTTTTCCTGACATAATCAAAATTATTTTACTTCATTACACTTTTTCATTAGTCTGTTATTCATTATGATGGAGACTAAGGATACAAACAACTTTGGTGGTTGGACTTTTGTGTTGGGAACAATCTTGCCGACAATGCTGATTGGCTGCAGTATATATGTTTGTGTCATCAATTCCTATTCAGGTAGTATTATTGCTCTTAAGTAACCGGTTGTGCAATTATTTTCAGAGTTTCATCCCATATAAGTTTTCTGCTATAACTCTAATGGCTTTTAGTCTGTTTGAGGTTCTTAACATCTTTTTGGGTTTAATTTGATTAACACCCCTCATATTCTAAATTTTAGTTTTGAGGTCTTGAATTTTGGTTCTACTTCTTTTATTTTAAGTTCTTATCAAAAAATATATATGTTCTTAGTGTTGGTTGTGCTAAAATTTTCTTTGTGGTTTTATCCAACTTACAATTTACTTTGGAAAATAACAATCCCCATCCCCTTTTACAAAAACTTGGTTCAGTGACCATCAAGGTTTCTTATCTTGGTTTAGCTCTCCGTGATAATTTGCTACTTCTAGGCTAAAGTATGCATAACATGGTTTGGTTTATTTTTTTGATTAACATAAACATGTGACAATTGGTTTCCTTAGTACTGCTTTATTGTTTTCCAACATGTCCTCAAATATTGAATATTCTCCTTGAAGTCAATTAGCATTTCAAAGTAAAGTATTCATCGGAAACTTTGATTATTCATCTGGTACTGTTGTGTGTAGCTGTGTTTTCCGCATTTATAAATAACCTCCTAATCTGATTGTAAGAATTATATGAGCAGTCCTTAGCTTTTTTGAGTTGTTTAAAGAAGCATCAGACCTTGATCCTATTTTGATAGGCTTGGGAGTGGATTGGCATTGTTGCATCAGCACGAAAGTGAATATGACTAAAGGAGCTATGAATCCTCTTGATGTTATACGTAGTAAATCAGGGATGACTTTTCTCTACAAACTGGAAGGTCATCTAAATCTTCTTTCTTTTCTCGGGTGTGGGTGGGGGTCTAGAAGTTTTGGTATTGAACCTAAGATTTTCGTATGTGTGCAGGAATGTGGTACATGGTAGTAGTAGCCTTGAGAATGGGGAGCATGAATTCGGTATGCCTTTATACTCAGTTTTGCTTTTATGTTTATGATGGAAATTTTTTGACACTAACTAGCTGGATGAATCCCAATTTTGGTAGAAATTTTATGAATTTGATTTGATGTTAATGTGAGGAAGATAATCATGTAAATATATGATTACAATTGATGACAGGCGAACATATGAAATAGTTCATGTCAAAAGTTCAAGAGTTGCATTGCAATATATTATGGGTAAATACTTGATAGTAATCAATCAATTCTTTAGAGGTGGCATCTGGGTGAATTTTTTTTCTCGGTTGTACAAAATTTGTTCTTCTAAAGACAACCTAATTCCAGCCTTCGTGTTTATAAACCGGACCGGCCGGTTTGGACCGAGAACCAGCAAACCATAGGTCAAACCGGTTCGGTCTGGTCCTTTAGATCGCGTCATGCATCAAACCACTTCGAACCGGTGTGAACCGGTCAGTTCAACCGGTCCAATCATTTTTTTTTATACAAAAATTGGCCAAAAACCTTAGCCCCTAGGAGTAGAACCTCTAACCTCTTATACACGCAGATACAAGGTGCCCTCCAACTGAACAAGAGAAATTTTTTGTTACATATTTGTTTCAAGTAATATATATACTATATACTTGAATAAATATGTATTAAAAGTATTCTTTTTTTTTTAAAACTAATCTTTTTAACATTAAATAATAGGATTGATATTCATATGTAGAACTTGTTGTAAAAAAATCACTTCACTTTTTGGATTATATAATACAAAAAAATATATGAAGAAAAAAGGAATAATCCTTGTAAATCACTTTAATGTATTTCTTAATATGTAAACTTTATTTTTAAATATTAATGCACATAAAAAATAATATAAATTTAATATAACTTGAATCAAACATCACAAATTTTTATGTATAAATGAATGGAGTGTGTGTGTGTGTGTGTGTATATATATATATATATATATATATATATATATATATATATAGCATCATTCACGTTTAACATCAATGAGATTTAGAACTAATTACAACAATCATGGGCTAAAATTAGGGAAATAATAACATCATTCACGTCTAACATCAATGAGATTTAGAACTAATTACAACAATCATGGACGAAATTATAACACAGAAGATGGAAAATTCAAAAGAAATATTGGAACATCCTTTTGACTTATATGGACAAAAGATTTCTATGGTAGAAAACTTGATTAATTAATTTAACAGTTTTATAGCGTCAAAAGAAATTAAAGGTATTATACAATGAATTGAGACAACCAAGAAGCTACGGAGTGTATATTAAAAGAGTACAGCCATATTGGATCTGTACATAGGTTGTAAAAGTTCTAAAAAGTCAAGAAGAAACACCTATAAATAGCGGATCAAAACCCGTTTGTCATGTATGCATCCAAAACATTATTCCCAACATTTAATCAGTGTAGAGAGGGTAATAAATATATAAATATATATAACTCAATATATATAATGTCAATGGGTCTTACTACTACTACCACTACTAATCATGGGGTATTGCTGTTCTTGGTGATTATCATGCTATGTGGGGCACTGATCTTCACTCAAGTCGAGTCTTCAAGAAAGCTTAATAATAATCCGTCGTCGATGGAGAGTACTTTTGCCGCCACCATATTAGGGAAATTTCATTCTGGACCAAGTGATAGGGGTAAAGGCCACCACTAATGATCGAGTATAAGAAAACAAACTTCAAACCCATTTATATATCTATCTCCATCAGGCGTCTCGTGCATGCTTATGTTTATTAATAATTTCTTGTTTTCTCCCTTTTCTTATATATGAACAAGGGAAAGAGGACAAGAAAAAAAGTTTCAGTGTATTGTCTTTGACATTGTTTGTGTCTTTGTCATTATATTATTTCTAGTACGTGTATCCTATATAGATCGACGTAAACCGATCAACTAGCTACTCCATATATGCATGCATGCATTCCAATGTACTCAAATTCAGTTCGTACGTGATTTGTCTCTTAATTTATCTGTTTACAATTCACACTATCAAACTTTAATCATGTTCTTTATCCAGTTGAGAATATAATATAATCATGCGCGATTTAAAATGGGGTTTGAACCCAAGATCTCTTGGTAAGTGAAATTTGCACTAAATAGGACTAAAACATAATGACTTTCCTAATGTAGGACTTAAACTTTTTTATTTCCTAAATATGACTTAATAATGACCTAGTGGGAGGAATAATGTCCAGTAATGATGGACATTTACTTGAATAATGACTACTTCATAATGACCAAAGGTCCTACATTGGGAAATAAAAACATATGGTCCTATATTGGGAAAGTCATTATGTTTTAGTCCTATTTAGGTAAATTTCTCCTCTTGGTAATTTAATTGAGTTCCTAACTATTCAAGTTAGGGTGATTTTTGTTACAATTTTACTTAACCTTTTATAATATTTCATAATTAAAAAAGGATTGTATAAAAATTTCTTTTTAGTTATAAAAAATATAATCTTTTAATACTCTGTTTGCTAGAAAGTCGCCAAGTGTCAAACTTATGTAGGCTATATTAAGGTGAGATGACAAGCCTTTATTGGTTGCTTATGTGGCAAATTTTATTAATGATGAATTGACCTTTCTTTTAATTTTAAAATAGAAATTTAATAATGATTCAAATTTTGGAAAAATTTTACGTAAAAAGTTTTATGACAAATAAAGAATTCATTATTTCGTGACATTAATTGAGTATTTATATTTTTTATTTTTAAAAAGAAATTCATTTATTTATTTGTTATGCTCTGATAAAATTAATTATGTTATAAGATCAACTTTGTGAAAGATAAATATAGAACTGTCGGAAATAAAATTATCAAAGGAAAACAATTATATAAAATACTCCCTCCGTCCTAAAATTAATTTCCCATTTGACTTTTCACGGTTTCCAATGCGACACTTTGACCATTAGTATCTCCATTTTTATAAGAATATATATAATAAAAATAATATATTTCAAAACTATGTTTCAAAATGAATCTATTGATAATAAATTTATATGAAAATTCAATATATTTTTTCTGTAATATAGAGTCAAAGTTTAAAAAATTTGACTGCAAAAATCAAAACGAGAAGTTAATTTTAGGATGGAGGGAGTATAATTTTATGATAAAACTTATTATGATGTAGCAAAAAATTAGTGAAAATATAAAATTGGTATTATCACTTGCCATTTCTAGACTAGGATTTTTTATGAATCAAATTTTTAACTAAGTGCATACACAAAAAAACAAAATTTTGATAATGATATATTTTTCGTTTAAAAGTATTCTTATAGGAAAGGATCAAATATGTTTATAATTGATCCTTTATTTATAAAATTGATATTTTAATCTCTAAGAAGCTGAGATGTGATGTTGTTTACGAGACATTTCTGACACGTAAAACATATTATAGAAAGTGAGAAGTTAATACTATGATATGAAGTCATTCGGTACAATTAATTATGGAAGAGAATAGAGATATTCGTTTTTGTAATAAATTACTCCGTATTTCCTAATTATGCATATTTTTTTATTCAATTATTCCAAAACTTCTAAAGGTGTGTTTGGTGAGCAAATAAAATATGAATTTTGATATCTCTAGATATCCTAATCCTTTTCTGGTGTTTGGTGAAGCCAAAAGAGATCAAATTTAATATCTCCAGATATTATAAATCTTTAAAATGGATGGTCTCAATATCTCCTGAATTTGGGAGATATCAATATGAAAGTTTGATATCTCTCTCAACTGTTGATTATTCTTCGCCACTCGCTACCATTGTGAATGCCAACCACTCCCGTTGCCAGTCACCCTTGCTTATCACTAATTAAATCTTGAATTTAAATCTCTCCAAATAAAATCATTTCAGATTACAAAATCCATATCATTTCTCTGAGTTTTCATAACCCACGTCTTATAATATCTCCAAAATTCACCAAATTGGCCCTAAGTAATTAATAACATATTTCTTCACTTCTAAATAAATTTTTTTATGATATATGTAAATCGAAGCAGTCAGTTTGATTATATTTATTAATCCCTCCGTCCCTAAATAAACTTCCCTTTTTGACCTTTTGAGGATTTAAGGGAGAGATATTTTTGTGTTGAGTTTTCAAAAATACCCTTGATGTGATGTGTAAAAGTAAGATGTGATATGTAGATTATTAGTAAAAAGGTATGATGTGATAGGTAGGGTATGAAAAAATAATGGGTAAAAGGGGGTTTTTAAGGGAAAATAGAAATTTATTTGGGGACAAAGAAAAAACAAAAGATGAAGTTTATTTGGGGACGGATGGAGTAAAATATTCATGTAAGTTAATAAACAAAAAAATTATTTTAAAACTACAATGAAACTTTATAAAACATCATAAGATTAGAAAATAAATTGTTAAAGCAGGTAAAATATATTAGATATTATTTGGTAATTTGATTATATTAATTTCATGGTTTGATATAATTACTAAAAAATTATGGCTAAAAGTTCTTAAATGATTTATGGTTTAATTTACAGATATTTTATTTTATTATTATTTATTATAATATTTTTAAGGGTTAAATATATTTTTAGTCCCTTAAAAATAGGTGAGTTTTGTTTTTGGTCCCTGAAATATAATTTTTGTTTATGTCATCCTTACAAAAAAATTTATTTTGATAATGATCTTTATACGTAATAAAGACTTTTAAGTTGTTGACATAACATATTTATTTTGTACTCAATAGCTTAGTTTTAGATTTGCAATTACTTCACACACAATTTTGAGTTGTGTGTTTTATAAAATTGCATTTGTAATAAAGACTTTTAAGTTGTGTGTTTTATCAAATTGCATTTCCAATTTTCAAATTTTGATTATATTATATTCGTAAGAAATTTGAGAGTCGAATATATGTAATAATGTAATATGAATACGTACACAATTTAGGGTTTAGATGTAGTTAGAAATACATGACTAATATGTTTAGTATGAAATAAATGTATTATCTCATCAAATTAGAAGTGCTAATTACGTTAAGGACTATTTTCAAATTAAAATATTTTGTAGGGATGACTTTATCAAAAAATATTTTACAGAGACTAAAAACAAAAATTTCTTATTTTATAGGGTATAAAAACATATTTAAACTTATTTTTATTATATTATAAAATACAAATGATTAAAACAAAATATATCGTTATGACTTATTATATTACACTAACATTATTTACGATTTTATTATCATTGAGTACATTTAATTTAGAAAGAGAGATATTTATTTTTCATTAGAATATTGTTTTAAATTTTTATTTTTTCATTTCATTTATAATAATACTTTCAATGAATATATATATATATATATATATATATATATATATATATATATACATATATAATATATACATATATACATACATACATACATACATACATATACACACACACACACACACACACACACATAGATATATAATATATACATACATACATACATACATACATACATACATACATACATATATATATGTGTGTGTGTGTGTGTGTGCGCGTGTGTGTATGTATATATAATTTAAATGGTATATAACATAAAAAAATCAAGTTGTTTAAATATTTTATATTTTACAATAAAGAAATTTCGTCCCACCCGTGCATGGCATGGGTTAAAATACCACTCCTTCCGTCTCAACCTCTTCGTCGTCGTCGTCACCACATAAAAGAAGAAAGCGCCCACATTTGTGTGTTCGGGACCACTTTTGGTCACAATTGTAGCACAATTCCTTAGCATCCTTGGCTTATTTCTCGGCCCGAGTAAGGCTCCGCTAGTTGTGGCGTCGTGGTAGGTGTGGGCAGAAGGGGGGCTGTCGTGGCTGCCCGAAGTCCCTGGACCGGCCCTTTGGTGCCGCCTGCACCAGTGGAGTATGGCCGTGAATGGACCGACTGGAGAAGGGCCGAATGTTTAGCCTCCAGTTCCCGTGCCATAGTGAAGGATTCAGAGAGTGTGGTCGGTTTGAGCATGCTTAACTCCTGTTGCAGATGATGTTTCAGTCCGGCATGAAAAACAGAAATCAAGATGTCCTCACTGGCCCCCGTAATGTGCTGCAACAGCTTCTCAAACTCCTCTTGATATTCCATGACGCTACCCCGTTGCCGGAGTTTCGCGAGTTGGCCGAAGTAATCCACAAAGAGAAGGGGATCAAACCGGAGTTTAAATTTCGCAACAAAATCATCCCAATCAGATATCATCCTATTAGTCATACGCCAACGGAACCAATCCGCGGCCGAACCTTCCAACATCAACGCCACACAACGTAAACGTTCATCCGGAGGCGTCGCATAGAAATCAAAGTACTCTTTTACCTTGTATAACCAACGTAGAGGTACGGAACCGTCGCACTTGGGCGGTTCCAATTTGGGCTTTGGAACGTAGGGGTGACCACCCACAACGTCGGTCTCCCCAGGCTGGCGACGAGGGGTGTTCTGGACAATCGTCCGGTTGGCCATAATTAACGCCTCCAGGCGAGAGTACAAGGCCTCCGAACGGACTGACTGTGCATCCAACCGCGCCTCCAACTCTTGTTGCATCTGCGACACTGAGTGACGCAAGGTCTCCAACTGGTTGTCCATGGCCGTCAGTCGTTCCGGCGTGACAGTGGTATCCGAAGACATAATGAAAGCACCAATGATAAAAGATCACACAAGGGTAAGGCGACTTCGAGCGTCACCGGGCTCCCAAAGAAGAAGAGGCGCAGGAAGAAGAAGAATATCGCACGGCGCGCGATCCAAAGAGGAAGAAGATATTAGGGCTTAGGTTTTTTTTATATTATTCCATACGTAGGGTTTAACTCCCCTTTTTATAATAATACAAAACCCTTAACCTATTAACTACGTTATCTAACCTGACGGTTCAAGAAAAGCGACGAGGTAAAGAACCGTAAAGAAACCCTCGAAGGAGCTTATAATTGTGCTCACCTATAAAAATCTAAGTACAATAATTTAAAAGTATTTAATAATAATAAAATGAATAAAGCTACGGCATATAGTCTTTCTGCCATGGCGGCGCCCGTCTCGTGCGTCGACTCCTTCGTGCCTCGACCACATGTGCTTGGTCGTCCAAAGGCTCCCGTTGGTCCTCGTTGTCTGGGTTGGGTATCATCGTATCAGACCCTTCAATATTAATCTTGCTCAAGGATCTTACTTAAAAAGATGTTGTGGATGAAGAGACATGTCACAACAAGCAAAATTGTATAAAATTTCTTTTTCCCATTTTTGAGGTAATTTTTTCCTGGGAAAATCATGAAGTACTAAGTATGAATATACCTTATTTTGTGGATCTGCCTGATTAATGTCGATCGAAAGTTGAAAATTTGAAAGTGTTGTGTAAAATGGACGAAAATTGATTCAAGGCTCGGTAGTGAGGCAAATATCTTGAGTGAGATTGTCTGAAATATTTGTAGTACTTTTTGATGACATTGATCTATTAAAAAATCGGCAAGGGTTCTCTTTTCTTCACTAGAAGAGACGAGTTAACATAGTTTTCTAGATCTACAAATTAATTTATAAGAGACAATGAGAAGAAAGATGAAGGGTGGTCACCAACTTGCATCAATAATTGGACTAACATATTTTCAAAAATACAAGCTTCAATGTGTAAATTAATAGACAAGATTTACTATTCTTGATTCAGTCTAAGATGATAAGCTAAGTTGAAGAAATAATATATTGTGGAGTATTCTAGATCAAGTGTAAGATAATATTTTCAAAACGTAGTCTAGAGTACTTTTAAAGTACTTTTTATTCACTCAAATAGATTTTTGTTATTCACTCAAATAGATTTTTGTGGGAAGCAGGATGTGGTGGTATTCTAATCCCCCTTTTATGTGAAATTGATTTTCCCTTCGCATTTGTTATACTTTAATTTTATGTTGCTCTGGGAAAGAAACTTTTGTTTACATTTTTAGCTCTGATCCTAATCTCATCCAATACAATGAAGTTGATTTGTACTATGAAGAGGTGCATGTAGATGAGAGAATATTTGCCCTCAATTAATGAGGCAAAGGTATTACATCCATCATTGCTCTTTGGATTTGCTTACATGGCATTTGTTCTCATGTGAAAATCTTGGATTAATGACTTAAATTTTCTTGAGGTTTGAAGTGTATGCTGAATAATCTATAATTTTTTTTATTTTAAAAGTATATAGTTTTTATAATGATAAGTACATATGTATCTCATACTAAGGGGCTGTTTGGCAACTTCTGAATAGGTAAGTGCTGAACCAGTAAGAGGTCTGAACCATTAAGTGCTGAACTAGTAAGAGGTCTGAACCATTAAGATCTAGTATATTGCTTAACTTTTCAGAGGCAAATGTCTGATCAATTCAGATAAGAGGTCTTAACAATTCAGACTCTGTATAATACTTAATCATTCAGAGGCAAATCTCTTAACCATTCAGACATCTGAACCATTAAGAGGCTGAAACAAACAGTCTGAACCATTAAGTGCTGAATCATTCAAACATCTGAACCATTAAGAGGCTGAAACAAACAGCCCCTAAGTGTATGCTGAATTTTTTATGCACAAATGCTTTAGTATTTCTCAAGAAAAATAATGCAATCATTATTAGAAGACAAAGTATTGAATATTGCTAGCAAAGTGTGTTCGATTTGACATTTTAATTGATTATGCATGTTATAGAACACTATTTTTTCAACATTTATATTAATATGATTTAAAAATAATGATAACTAACACAACGAATAGTAAGACTAAGTGCTATTGATATGTAATACATACTCTAATTTTTTTTTGTGGTGCAACATACGAGTAGAAATATACTCGTAGTTAGGATTTAAAATGTGAGTGAGTTTTTTCGTTGGGGTCATACTGGCTTATTGGTTCAATATAGGAGTAGTATTTTTAAGTTGGGGAATAAAAAAAAAGGAGATGGCTAGTGCCACTAGGAGCCATTCCCCCCCCCCGAGAAAGAGTACATTCACCCCATGACTATATATTACGGTTTCAAGAGTAATAAATCAAATGGTTTGAAGATTCTTATATACAACGCAGGGCCGGCCCCGAAAAATATAAAAATAAAAATGGCCCAGTCCAAAATTTATATTTTGTGTTCTATTTTATATTTTTAGAATACGTTTGCTTTAAAAATATTAACAAATTTAAAAATATGGTGCCCTAAATTTTAAGGTACCCTGTGCGGTTGGCCACTTTGCACACCCTCCGGGCCTCCCATGAAACGCAAAAGATGTTTCCACAAGATGTACCAGTAATGTGGTTTATAAAGAAATTTTTCTAAAATTTGTAATTTATAGGCTATTCATGTTTTAAAATAATGAAAAACCTTATATTCCATGATTTATTTCTTAGAAAAACCTTGTAATTTTATAAACAGTTTAATTTGGGAAAGGGGGGTATTAGATTCTTGGGTCATTTATATTTTACTCCGTATTTTTTTTTACAAAATTCCATCATTTCTTTTCTTAACAATTAACTCTAAAAAAATTATTTTAAATACTTGTTAACCTAAATTAAAAATAAATATGAGTAAAAAAATGTTAGAAAGATCATTACTCGAAGAATATCAATATCAACAAACTTTTAAAGTATAGTACTTGTTGAATTGGCTATTTTAGTAATTTTCAATGTATTAGTTTTTTAAAATGTTCAATTGCCAAACAACAAAAATTTAAACAGCTAAATAATAACTCTGACGCAGAAAGTTAAACTCTAACTCTAATTTCTAATTCTAACCTATAACTCTAAACTCTAACGTTCTTTTCAAACATGCCCTTCGTCAATAAGAATAAATAATAAACAATATAAAATAAAAATAAATTAAATTAAAAATAAATGAAAGAGGACAACTTGTAATCCATTGTTTGAGGGAGAGGTTACTCTTTCTTTGTGTCATCTACGCACATTCATTCCTTTGTCCCTAGAGAGGATTTTATTCCCCTTCCTCCCAGCACCGCTGCTGTTGTTTTTTTCTTTTTTTTTCTTTTTTTTTTAATAGAAAAAAGACAGAAAGAAAATGGCCAAAAATCACTGTTTATCCACCACGTTGCCGGCAAATTCCAATCACTATTCACTACACTTTCATTCGAATATATATTTAAAAAAAATAAATTAAAGACCCTTTATGAGTGAAGAAATAAAAAAGAGGGAAATATGTTCATACCTGTTTGAGGTACATATGTTCTTCAACCAACAATCTTCAGATCTATTCCGAGTCCACAGATTCTAGAGAGAGAGAGAGAGAGAGAGAGACGTTCGTTGGGATGGATGAGAAGTTGTTACAGCGGTTGGAATCGGCGGTGGCTCGTCTGGAAGTGCTGTCGTCCGGCGGATTTGGCCAGGGAACACCGCGCGACGGTGACATTGCTGCTGCGGCGGCGGCATCGGATCCATCCATCATCGCGTTCGAAGATCTGATTTCGCAGTGCGTCGGGAGGCTTTGCAGTGCTGCTGACAAGATTGGTGGAGTTGTTTTGGATGTCACCAAGGTTGTCAAGGATGCATTCTCTTCCCAGAAGGAGCTTCTCATCAGGATCAAAGAAACAAAGGTTTTCTTTTTTAATTAAATTTTCTTTCTGGAATTAACTCAAATTGGTGCGTTTTCCCTTGGTTTGGCAATGCTCGCTGCACTTAATCATTGTAGAGATCTTTGATTGTGCTTGACATCATTTGTAAATCTGCATCAAATTTGAGATGTTTGAAGATGCATGCCTAATTTGCTTTTACCGACATCGGGTTTTTGTTTAAAATATGATGAAATACTGAATGCTTATGATTTTTAGCCTAATAGGGAGTAGTAAACTTTGATCCCTTCCCCCCTTGCAACCAAACTATCCTTTTTTTTGGGTACAAGTGGAAGATAAAAGTTCATGATAAACTTAAGTAATGCTCCCGCTAGTAGAGGGATAATCCTTGGACTAATGCCACCAACCATATTAAAGAGCCACCAATCAGAAATCTCCATTGAAGTGTGATCCACATAAACAGAATGTTTGCCCGAAAAAAGTTCAACCGCAGTGGAGGAATCTGAAGAATCTGAACAAACAATGATGTGGTAACTAAAAGCAACAAGGTTTTGCCTCGTCAATTTCGTAGACCAAAGATAGCCTTTAGACAGTTGATTGATTAATGCTAAGAACGAAAATGGAACTACTCATTGAGAAATGTTGAAAAGAAAGTGTTCACTTGATCAGGATGAAGAAGGCAACCGAGCTATTCTATAAAACATTAATAATTTGTCTAGTTTAAGAAGATTTTGTCAACAAGAGATATAGACAATGTTGATATTGTGTGAATTTACTCTACAATGTCTTCATTTGCAAGTGAATTATAAGTAGTCCTCACCATTCTTTGAACTGTGTCGTTGTGCCATATTAGAGTCATTAATGTATAGACTAGAGAGAATGGTGTGTTGTTTCTGCTACTTGTCTTGCCCTTTGTCCCTCACCTTAGTCTTTTATTCTGTAGAAACCTGACGTGAAGGGTCTCAGTGAGTTCTTGAAGCCTTTGAATGACGTTATTATGAAGGCATCATCAATGACAGAAGGACGGAGATCTGATTTCTTCAACCACTTGAAGGCTGCTGCTGATAGTTTAGCAGCACTGGCATGGATTGCTTACACAGGAAAAGATTGTGGTAGGATGAGTGTTCATCTCTTTCCATGGCATTTTTGTGTACTGCTCAGTTATTTAACCTACTATTTTGTTAATAGGTATGAGCATGCCCATAGCCCATGTTGAAGAAAGCTGGCAGATGGCTGAGTTTTACAATAACAAGGTATCCTGAGCTTTCTCTTATTTTCTTGAAGTAGCAGTTAGTCAAGCAATGCAACTTTCGATGTTGAGCCGGGGGTCTCTTAGGAAACAGCCTCTCTACTTTCGAGTAGGGGCAAGGTCTGCGTACACATACCCTCCCCAGACCCTACTCTTGTGGGATTTAACTGGGTTGTTGTTGTTGTTGTTCTCTTATTTTCTTGGATCATCCGCATAATATTCCCCTACTAGGTGAAGGAAGGTGTAAATTGTGACTTACTCCCTCCGTCCCAAATTAATTGGCACATTTTGACTTCCTGCCTTTCCTGGAGTTTAAGAAAAGTGTTGAAAAGCAAAAATTGTGGTTAAAATTTGTTTAGAAAAAAGAAAAAATGTGGACCACGAAATTTTTAGTTTATTAGGAAAGTAAAGAAGTGTGACAATGCTTTTGGGATAGACTAAAAAGGAAAGTGAGATGATTAATCTCGAACAGAGAGAGTATAAAATTAGTAAAGTTGCAATTAAACTGCTGGTACTATACCATGTTGGAATCCAGGGTGCTCCCGTGATGCTTTTTCATGTTTGCCATTTGTCACAACATTTTTCTCATCACTGAATATTGAAACTATTTCAAAGTGCTCCCGTGATGCTTTTTCATGTTTGCCATTTCTCACAACATTTTTCTCATCACTGAATATTGAAACTAGTTCAATTATTAATTTTGGGACCTCTTTATCGTGTTACATATGATAGATTCTTGTGGAGTACAGAAACAAAGATCCAAATCATGTTGAGTGGGCAAAAGCTTTGAAAGAGCTGTATTTGCCTGGATTGAGAGAATATGTTAAAACTCACTATCCTCTGGGTCCTGTTTGGAATGCAACTGGGAGAACTTATGTATCGCCGCCGGCAAAAGTGCCCGGTACAACTCCGGCACCTCCAGCTCCTCCCTCAGCTTCACTTTTTAACACCGAATCCCCTAAGCCTTCATCATCGCATCCAAAGAAAGGAATGGCTGCTGTTTTTGAAGAAATAAGTTCAGGGAAGCAAGTAACTTCTGGTAATTTTCCTTCTTGCTTTCGTCTTTAGAATTCATTTTATCATTTATTCTTAAAGAGATTCTGTTTCTAGGGTTGAGAAAGGTAACTGATGATATGAAAACAAAGAACCGGGCAGATAGAACTGGCATTGTTGGAGCTGGTGAAAAGGATAACCGTGTTAACTCACCCTCATTCTCTAAAGCAGGACCTCCAAAATTAGAGCTCCAAATGGGCCGCAAGTACGTAGCAAATAATTTTCATGTTTCCTTTTTCCTATTTGATATGTTGAATAACAAGGCTATGTTGCTGACAGATGGGTAGTGGAGAATCAAATTGGGAAGAAAAATTTAGTCATTGATGACTGTGATGCAAAGCAGTCTGTATACATCTTTGGCTGTAAAGATTCTGTTCTTCAGATCCAGGGTAACTCCTGCTTTCACTGGATATAACTTTCTCCTGTCGTAACTTTTTGTAATGATAAACTACATGGTAGTATGTTTTGTTTATGCGGTTTAAGTTGAGGAAATCAACTTGTGTCCTTGATTATACTTTGCAGGAAAAGTTAATAACATAACCATTGATAAATGCACTAAGATGGGAGTTGTATTCTCGGTAAGTGGGGTTTTCTTTTTAGCATAGATTCTCGCTGGATGGGTAAAATCAACAACTTACTAACATTGTGACATACAAATTTGGGGAACAGGATGTTGTGGCAGCTTTTGAAATTGTCAATTGCAGTGGCGTAGAGGTGCAATGCCAGGTAATTTGTTTTTTAATTTTATTTATGATATGGAAACTTGGAAGGAGCTTTTCAAATCAATTCATCTTGATTGCCTTTTCTTATAGGGTGTGGCACCGACAATCTCGGTGGATAATACATCTGGGTGCCAGTTATACCTTAGCAAGGACTCTTTGGAGGCTTCTGTCACCACATCCAAGTCCAGTGAGATCAATATTTTGGTGCCTAGTGCTGGACCTGATACTGATTGGGTATGTGTATCCTTTGCTAGACCACACACTTGAGTACTTGACATAGCTGCTTCTCTTTATTAATACTCCCTCCGTCTCAAAAAAAAAAACTCCTTATTTCCTCTGCATAACTTTCAACCATAAATTTCACTTTCCTTGAACTTTGTGCCAAGTCAAACCAAGAGCCTTTTTTTGGGATGGAGGGAGTATATCCTAATAACTCCCCTCGAGTATTTGACATATTTTCCCTTAAGAAGACGGTTCGATCTTTTGTGAGGCCATCTCACAGTGAGACAACAATATTTATAATAAAAAACACACCTTGGAACATAAAGTTAATACTTTTGTATTCTAGAACAAATAAAAAAGGTTTTTCTATTATTTTATGTTTAATAGTATTTCATATTAACTAAAAAAGTACTAGTCTCATGCAAGTTTTTTTAAAGACTATCTTGCTAATGCGTAGGCAACATCATATACGAATATGATCTTTAATCAATTTGATTTTTGTGTGTGTGTGTGTGTGTGTAGGATGAACATGCTTTGCCTTACCAGTATGTGCACGTTTACAAGGATGGCCAATTCATAACGTCGCCGGCCACCCACTCTGGAGGTTAAAATAAAATGTTAAATGGCGAGTCCTCTCTTCCGGTATCTTACACTTTCCATTTTCTTTGAACCTACGTTTTCTTTGTTGGGTGTCCAATCTTTTTTCTTGTTGGGCAGTTTGATTTTATCACGATAAAGAAAGAATTCATTGTGAAAGTTATATCTGTACACTTTGTTTTCGTTTGTATTAAAACTGAATTCGCCGAATATTACTTTCAGTGAATATTTATCACCCAATCTTACATCAAGCCCCTACACAATTCTGCCTTCTTAAGCAGCACAACACTTCTGGTCAAATTTTTTTGTTTATTTATTTTTCGTTGCTCATTTTGTTAAAATAGCATACTCAAGTCATATCTTATTTGTCACCAATGTTTGTAGATAGCTTTTATTTTGAAATTTTGTACTACGGAGTATTATTTAAATAAAATGAAGTTAAAATAAGTTCAGTCAAAATTTATTATTGAGATAATTAATTCCGATGGATGGAGTATATTTTTCTAATAATAATTCGCTGAAGATGTAGCAAATACGGAGTTGTTAAATTCGGAGGATGATGCCATAGGTACTCTGCAACTTTCATCTTTTAAACATAAAAATGTGTTAACTATTTGTCATGGGGCATGAGGAGGACTTTAATATGTAATCTTTATTTTTTAACTCTATATCATTTGTTTATAAAATAATTTGAAAATAATTACAGTCAAACATCGTAAATCAAAACATGCATTATAAATTAGGACAGAGGGAGTAGAAAAAAGAAAAACTATAAAGAAAAGATGGACATTTGTGCCAATTTTCAAAACATAGGGGGCAACAGGGCTATTCACTGAATATTTGAATGATATTTTAGTCTAGAGGGGCATTAACGTAGCGATATCAGAATTCAGAACCATGAGGGGCAACGACGTATGTTTTGAAACCATAGGGGGTAAAGGTGTACATTTACCAAACCACACGGAGGCCTGGTGCAATAAACTCCTTTTTGAAATGGATTGAATATAAGATTATATTATACGGAACTTGACGTATACTTGGTCCGTCCCTGAGTGTTTGTCCACTTTTGACTTTTGGAACTGTTCATATAAGCACTTTGACTCATCAAATTTTCTCAATGTGTACGTCTAAAAATAGTCATGTGTGATCTTGTTTGATTCGTCTTAACATATAGATTATTAATATATAATTTTTATAATTTTTTAATATACAAATTACAAGATAAAATGGATTAAAGAAGTGCATTGGATGGTGTGCAAAAATGAAAGTGGACAAATACTTAGGGACGGAGGGAGTATTACCAGTGGCGGGGTCCAAGAATACAAATGACGACCAAATAGCATCAGTAACCCCCATGATTTGGAAAATTGACACCAATAATCCAACCTATATATTCACTCCGTCCCACTCTCTTTGTCAACTTGTCTTTTGGCGCAAATACACTAAAATGCCCTTTTGGGATAAGACTATGTGTTATGGGGCATGAGGAGGGGCTTCACCACCCTCCGTCACGCCCCTCTTCCATAACACCTCTTCCGGTTAGCAGGCGTTGCCCCTCTTCCAGTCATAGTTGTGTTATCCTTATTATATATGTAAAAGAGGGTTACATGCTTGGAGTGTTGACACGTGTATCTGACATGGAGCCAACGTGTAAATGAATGCCATGTTGGACAGAGCCGACGTGTAAATGAAAAGCAAACGTGTAAAAACATGGAGCCAACGTGTAAATTATCCTTATTCTACAATTTGTTGAAAAGCAAACGACCAACTTGACCAAAAAAACAAATTCTTTTAAAGAGAAATAATACGGCAATTTTAATTAACAATTGAACAAATAAACTAAAAAAACAAAAAAAAAGTAGTGACAACTCCTTGAATAAACGTATGTCATCCTTAAAATAACATAATAAAAATAAAAACTTAACCTATTCCCATTATAAACATACCAAAACAAATACTCCGTATTTTTTTAAAACAAAATGAAAGCTACAATACCATACCAAAATATTAATAAAACCGTTATTCCCTATTAGAAACCAACCGATATAAAAACGTAACATAACACATTCAACCATTTTAAACACACCATTATAATTAAATAAATATACGCTCAAAGGTTGCACAAGAAAACCAAAACAACACAACAACAACAACAACAACACAACCACAAGAAGGACCACCAACATCTCCTGATAAGTTTATCATACATATTACCACCAACAACACTATGTGTATCCAACTTGGTCTACACATAACATTTCTTATCCTTATACCAAACTACTTTTATTCTTTACTCCACCTCCAACTTTTCCATTCTTCAAAAAAAAAACACACAACTTTAATCCCCTCTTACGTATAACATTCAAGACCTAAACTCAACCTTCATTGAAAATAATTACATAATTACAAAAATATTCTAAACTTTAATTTACAAAAAAATCATTACGTTACTCTATTTTGGTGTAAAACATTAAACTTCTACAATAAACAAAACTATCCAAACATGTCTACACATAAGTACAATAAACTTAAATTATGCAACCCCTAACATTACTATATTTTGCAGAAATTAGAAGAAGACAAGGATACTTTCACCCATAGTGTAACCCTCTTTTACATATATAATAAGGATACTTTCCCATATACTTAAACAATTGCATCTACAAAAGGCACATTACACCCATGAAACCAAAAAAAGAAATATCCACTATGGAAGATGGATAAAAAAATCCCCATTATAGGCAACAATGCGACGAAAAACTGTGCAGAACAAGATGCGGCTAAACAGGCAATAGTCCTTCTCAAAGATGCATTTGGATATACAATGAACGCACTCGATTTNATTTGTAGACAATAAGTACAATTACACTCCAAATATTGCTCCCAGAAATAATCTTTACCCATTTATATTATAATCTCCATTCAATATTACGCATTACAAATTATTTTGTATATCTACCTAACTCTCTCTGTGTATGTATGCATTCTTTTAATTTCATTACATAATTCCTAATCTTAACCCAATAAAAAAATCAAACAAAATACACAAACCAAAACACACAATACCAAAAACAACATCTAAAATCACAACAATAAAATAACTATTCAACCACCAACGTCAAATTCCAAAACTCTCAAAAAAAATATACCTCATCAAATTACACAAAACAAAATGATACAATGTACTATTATTACAAAATCTTAAATAACCATAGCGTACACAACCTTTTAACACATGTCCAACCAAAGTACCCAAGAAAATCAAATCATCAACCAAACCATCAATTCTCAAGAATCATCTCAAATCCATAAAACCGAGATCTAATAACAAGCCCGTGCGAAGCACGGGGCAGAAAACTAGTATAACAGTATATCATAGTTTCCTTAAAATTTCTCTTTGGTTGATAAAAAGAGTTTTGTGAATCATATTCTTGTGAATCATAATGTCTGCTCTTCGATTCCAGCCTGCTCCTGCAACTTACAATGATGTATTCAAATTAATATTCGAGTACATTGATCATCTCTTTTCATTGATTCGTCCTACAAAGCTACTTTATTTGGCAATTGGTAAGTACTAACTGTTCAACCCATCCAATTCTCTTACCTTAAAAAGCAAAATAGATATACTGTTCTATTCTCTCAAACATCAAAATACCGGGTAGGGACAAAACAAAACCGCATAATTAGATACATGACAATATGACATAGGCAAAATTTACCGTGGACGTAAAGTCCACCATAGACCTACATATGAACAAAATAAACATTTTTTTACTATTTAAATGAGTATTTATTTTTTTAAATAAAAAAATAAAAAAAAAATTATGTGAGAGAAGGTCAACAAAATTGATATGCACCCAAATTGCGCCAAAGAAGCACTTCATGACATAACAGAGTAAAAAAAACTAGTACTACCTCCGTCGAAGAGTACTTGTCCAGTTTTGACTTTTTTCAGTCAACTGTTTTCAACCTTTGACTTATAACTAAATAAAATATATATTGTATATTGATTAGATAAAATAATATTCTGAAATATATTTTATATAATAAATCTAATAAAACTAGTTTTGTATTAATATCTAATTTCATTTTTATTTAATTTGAGATCAAAGTTTACCAAAAAAACAAAAGTGGACAAATACTTCGAGACGGAGGGAGTAAAAGATGGTTGTGCTTAGGACCATAACAAAATAAGAAGTGATTCCCAAAATCCAATGTTCAAGACTCAAGGAATTGGAAATTTGATGCTCGACTTGCACAGCTTGCTAAAAGTCAACAGAAACCATATCCTCTTGAAGGCCAGAATCATTCATGTAATCACGTTGATGTCTACAATAAAAAAAATAAAAAAATAAAAGGAGTACAAAACTCGTTTAATCGACCAAAGAGAAATTTTAAGAAAACTATGATATATTGTTATATAACACAACTATGACTGGAAGAGGGGCAACACCCATGAGGGCGGTCACTGGAAGAGGGGCAACACCCGCTAACCAGAAAAGGTGTTATGAAAGAGGGGCGTGACGGAGGGTGGTGAACAGGAGAATATGGCACATATGTTTGAAAATATCAAACACTTAGTGAAAGATAACTTGAATAAAGCCAGTTTACATATCACACTAAAGAGAGGATCAGATTGAAAAATAACAATGTAATGATGCTCATACATTTTAGGCATACTGCAAAACTCAAACTGTATAATTTGATTAAAAAAATGGCTTTTGGATGAAGGTGTAATGGGTATAAAATTACCAACACGGCTTAATCCAACAAGAGTTCGGGTACCATCTTGTGCCATAGAGATGGGATGATGAATCTTGTTGGCTTCCAGAGAAATGCCATTTGCCCGTCTCCATGGAGAAGTAAACGATATCAGTACCACGGAGCAAAGGGAAATAAATTCTGTTTCCACCACTCGAAGAAGGCATGGCAGAGGAAGAAGTTGGGTTGAGATACAAGTCGTAACCTCCCAGATTGCTCACCTTTTCCCATACCTGATGACTATTATTCAGCTTGTAAGCATAAACCCATTTTCCCGCACGACCAAGAAATACTGAAATCAACTCCCCACCACACTCCACCAAGAAGTTGTGAGAAAAAAACTTCAGGTCAGCTGGCCTTTGCGGCTTCTCAAGAACTTCCCACCTAATGTTTACTAGTTGCAGATCTATTTCAAGATATCCGAGTCGTCCCATCTTATCCAAGTAATAGAAAGCGTCATTATACAAGACCGGACTAGTCTGCATTGCTGCATCAAAATTCTTTTCACT